GGGGAGATGCTGCATCCCAAGCCTAGGCCCTCATCTAAACTCCAGGCTGTGACCCCCCCCCCCAAGTCAAGCCACCCCGTCCCAAGCCCCCATCTGCTCAAGGACATCGTTAAGGGTGGGCCTGGCCCGCTTTGGCAGCCACATTCCCCTCCTCCCCAGGCACATGCGCTGGCGCCTGGCTGGTTCCATGGAGGGAGGGAGGACGCGCCTACCAACTTACCTTCCCCCTCTCTTGCCAGACCTGGGGCTCCTGCCAGGTAGAGAAGTGACCAACTCTTCAGAAGCAGAGAGGATTCTGGGACCCCTGTTTCCCGGGAGCTCTCATAAAATCAAGGTCTCAGGCCTGCCCTGGCCAGTTACATGCCCGGGAACACGGTTCTGCTTCTCTCTGGGGCCTTGGTTATGAATGGTCTGGAGGAGGGGATTGCTGAGGTTCCCTGAGCACTGATCCTCTGCCCTCAGTCTCACCCTGTCACCTTCAGTTGCTGTGTGACACCTTCAGTTGCTACCCATTACTTCCATGCCATTGCATATGTGGAGCCTGATACCTAGACATCCCCTGCCTGGCTGTTCCTCCCCCAGGACTCCTGGGTGGCCCCCAGGCTGGGCTTCCCCCACTGTAGCCCCAGCAACTATGTCATCACACCTGGTGGCTGGTTTGTCTCCCAACCAGATGGCAGGGTCCATGAGTGTGAGGATGGTATGTGTGCGCTGTAAATATCTGAACATCGAGTTGGGACAGGTCCGGGATGCCTTGACACAGCATGGTGGTTAAAGACCAGGGCTGTCAAGTCAGGTTACTGCTGGCTGTGGGATCATGGGAAACTAACTTAACCCCTCAGGGTCTAAGATTTCCCATCTCGAACACGGGATGATAATAATTGGGGCTACCCCACAGGAATCTTTTAAGAGTGACATGAGATGATCACATAAAGGGCTTGGCATGTAGGAAACTCCTAATGAGGTACCTGGAGGTTCCTGGAGACCAAGGCCTGTCGGGCAGGCCAAGGAGATGAAGGGACACATCTGGTGCATCAGCCTGCACTGCCCCCACCACTCTGCTGTTCCTGCCTGCCTTGAACACACCAGGCTCCTCCTCACCACAGGACCTTTGTGCCTGCTGTCCCCCCCCCCACACCTGGCTTGTTCTTCCCACCATTCATTCAACGCTCCACTCAAATTCCACCCACTCAGGGAGGTTTCCCAGGTCCTTGGGGCATGATCCTGGCACTCTGTGTAATATCTCTATAGCACCTGTTACTACCTGCGTTCGCGTTATTTAGATAGTTGCTTATTGCCTGTCTCTCCTACTAGAATGTCAGGGCCTCGTAGGGAGTTTTGCCTCTTTTGTTCATGGTTGTATCCCCAGCACCTAGAACACAGCCTGATACATACTACTTGCTGAGTACTTAATAAAGGAATAACAAATCTTGAGGTGGGGACAGAATGAGATCCCCTTGTGCTGGGTAAACTGAGTCACAAAGGGGTGGTAGCTGGTGTCCCTGACTAGCCAGTCTCTCCCCGGCCACTAGAGGGCATAAGCTGTTTAATCCGTGGCTCAGGAGTAGGACTCACCAAGACAGTGAGACAAGAGGGAGCTGGGATAGACTAATGGGACTGGGGAACACCTGGGGAAAAGTGGGCTCTCAGGGCAGGACACTCAGGGTGCTAAGCTGTGCACCTGTATCCAATTAGTGCGCTCAGAAGAAGGAACCAGGCTGACCTGAGTTCAAGTCCCAGCTCCTTGCCACCCACTGTGGGGGGGGGGATAGGGGGGTGGGAATTTGTCAGGTCATTCATCAGGTCTGTTTTCACAACCATAAAATGGGAAAATAAGCAGAGTACAAAGAGAAGGCTTTGGACCCAAGCAGAATCAGGGTGCCATCCCAACTCCTGCTGGGCTGGGTGACCTAGCCCCCTCTGCACCTCAGGGACCAGGCTGGATGTCCCCCCAAGGGCCACAGGGCCCACCCTCTTACCAGAAATGCCACTTCTGCCATCCAGAATGTCTCGGGGTCCCTCCTTGGTGACAGGTAGGTAATGCGTGGACCGGAAGATGCCACCTTCCCCCTCAGCAGCCTCGGCCCCACCTTCGATGTCTTCCCTCGGTGCTGGGCCGGGCAGTCTCTCGGGGCCACGAGGACGATCTGGGGCGGCCAGGCCGCCTGCCAGGGGCCCATCCATGGATGCTCTCTGCCTGGCTCCACTCAACTGCTGGTCTGGCTCAGCAAGGCATTGTAGGTCTGGAGGCAGAGAGACAGGTGCTCAGGGGAGGTGGGAAAGGGATGCTGCCTTAGTTTCTGCTTCCCGGAAGCCGCAGTCCTCACCCTTGCTACTCAGTGCCTCAGTTTACCTCCCAGCCCAGGAGAGCTAAGTAAATGGTGCTGAGGCCCTATCCAGATGCATTGTAACCCAGAGGTCCCCTTTCTTCTGTATGCCTCCGTCTCCCACCCCACCGTAACTTGTCTTTACACAGCTCCTGCACTGTGCTGCCTCAGTTTACCCCATTTTTACACATGCAAATTCATGCTCCTTGTTTCTTCCAGCATCAAGCGTATCACTTCTCCCAGGTGCCTCCCCTCACACACTGCTGCACTTTCCCCGGTTGTGCTCTCACTTCCATGTACATGCAGATCCTATGTACATGCTTTTGCATGAATCCCAGCCACTTCTACACCCTGATCCTATACACTCTCTCAAGTGGCCCCATCATTACCTCTGCACTTTTCCCACACTCTGACCCCTATCCCCGCAGGACCTTAGGGTTCCCCAGCATTAACCCTTTCACCCTCACACACAGCCTTAAGTGACCCCAGCATTAACCCCTTCTCTTCTCCCCAGCATTATTCCTCATGCATACCCAGCCTGGGCTCCTCCATCCCACCCTCCCAAGATTTCTCTAGTCTGCGGACAAAAACGACGGATGGGGCTCCTGGTCCAGAAAGAAGGACCCTGGGGAGGCCGTGTGTGTGAGGGGGTGGGTGCTGTCCTCTCCACCTATAAATACCTTCAAGGTAACGGCGGAAAGTGAAGGGCAGGAATGAGGCGCCCTCCCCAGGGAGATGGTGGGGAGGCCGGGCCCAGGCAACCGGGGCGGGGCCCGGGCTCCAGGCCTGGCTGCAGGCGCTGCCCTCAGGGGCCTGGGGACTCCCAGGGGGCCAGTCCGTGGCCTGGCAGTCGTGGCGGGGGTCCCTGCCCAGGCCCAGAGGAAGCACCTGCGGGTGCCCACCGGGTGGGCACTGCCCGCGGGGAACAGGCGGGACCGCAACTTCGGAGCACTTTGGCAGCGTGGGAAGGGGCCTCCCGCCTGGACGCCCCCCCGGGGGTCGCAGGGGTGGGGGCGGCGCCGCGCCAGCGCACCCCTCGTTGGGTCAGGGTCCTGGAGACACTCCCTCCGCCCGTGCACTTCGGGGCGGGAGACCCCGTGGGACGCGCCGAGGTGGGGGGGGACACCTGCCCCAAGACCCCCGCTCCTCCCCACCACCAGAACGGCCCCGCCCCCGACCAGGCCCCGCCCCTGCAGGCCCCGCCCCCGCCCCCCGCCCCGGGGGGTCCCGCCTGTCCCGGCCCGGCCCTGGCCTCCCCCTCCCCGCGCCGGCTCCGCCCCGCCCGCGGGCTCCCCAGGCCGGGCCGGGCCTCACCGGGGAGGCGGCGCCGCCGGCCCGGCGCCAGGGTTCGAAGCTTCCCTCCTTGGTGCGGCCGTCGCTGCTGCTACCGCCGCTGCCGCTCCCGGTGCCGGTGCCGCGGCCTCCGCAGCCGCCGCCGCCTCCACCGCTCGGGGGACATTGTCCCTTTAAATCGCTCCCCCCGCCGCCCCGCCCCCCCGGCGCGCCGCCGTGACCTCAGCGCGACAGCCCCGCCGCGCCGCCATGATGAGGAGGTCCAGGCCCCCCCCTCTCCCCCCGCCCCCCCGCGCCGCCTGGGGGGGGGGCGGTCAGCGGGCGCGCCGCCATGTTGGGAGTGGCCAGGCGGGTCACCCTTAAAGGGCCCGCGCGACCTGAGAGTCCAGGGAGAGGGTCTGTTTCCATGACAACACACTTGTCCCCCTGCCCCCAATAGCTCCTCTTCACCCTACTGGTGCTTCCAATGCTAGGCCTGCTAATAGCAACAGAATAGTGAGGAGGGGTCAGAGAAGTTCCCTCATGAGTCATTTATAGGTCACTGAGAACTCCACCCAGCCAATCCTTATCCTTCAGTCCCTTGCCCCCAATCAGCTACCTTCCAACTGCAAGCCTTCTCCCTCCTTTCCCATTATCCACGCTGGACTTCAGCACCTCCACGCCCCTAGAGCTGCCCTAGGTCCCCAACGCTAAGCCCCTTTTTTCCATCTAACCCCAGGATCACAGCCTCCAGAACTACCCTTTCCTGAATACATAACAAAGCTGCCACCTTCTCCCATCCACCACCTTTCCACATGTTCAACCACCCATTCATCTCCCCACCCATTTATCCACACACTCAACCAGTCAACCACTCATCTATCCATTCAATCAACTAACCACCTATCCATCCATCCATCCATCCAAACACCCACTCAAACCACCCATTCACTTCCCATCTACCCACTCATCCATCCACTACTCAACCAACATCTGGTCCTGTGAACCAGCTAGCCACTCTCGCAAATTCCAACAACCATCCACCCATCTGAACACCCACTCAGCCCACCCATCCACATCCCATCTACCTACCCATCCACCCACCACACAAGTAACTACTTATCCATACAACCAAGCAAGCGTCCACCAATTCCTGCACACATCCTTTCACCCAGCCATGCAGACATCAGTTGCACATTTACTTGTCTCCTCCGCTAGAATGTAAGCTCCATGAAGGAGTCCCGTCTGCTTTGTTCGTTATTGTTTCACCACTGCCTAGCTCAAGTCTCAGGAGACCCCAACAAATATTCACGCGATATATATATCTATATATATATAGATATAGATATATAGATATATAGATATAGATATAGATATAGATATAGATATATAGTCACTTACTCAGTTAACTCACATATTTATTTTCTACTGTAATCCAGGCCTTTTTGAGGCTGACATACCTATCCCAGCTACCCGCCTACGTACGTACTCACCTACCAGGGCAAATATCCACCAAATGCTAACCTATTTATCTGCCTATTGTCCCATTCACCCTACCTCTCACCCATCCGTCCACCTATGATTCAAATGTCCACCCACTTACCCAAACAACACCCACGGAGCTCAACCATCCTCACACCTACTCACCCCTTTCTTCATCTGCCTCACAGACCCATGCCTTCCCTGTCATGAGGGAGATGGTGTGGGATTTGGGGGCCTAGAAAGATGCTCTCATCTGGGGACTGGGCCTCATTGAGAAGCAGGTGCTGCCTCTAACAATGATGAATGCCTTTTATTGAACACCTTAAACTATGGGTCTTCAAGAAACTTTAGGTCCATTTTACAGATGAGGAAATTGAGGTTCTGACAGAGTAAAGGTCTAAGGTCACACAGCTGGGTGAGAATCTCCTTATGTATCCCTTCCACGAGACCTCCAAATAGGAGAGAATTTGGGAGACCTGAATGGTGGGAGGGGGGTGCTTTCTGATTGGCAACACTTAGGGGCAAAAAAAATCCATCGATGTTACTGAAATCAAAATTTTACTGGGTAACCTCATAGTGCCAGACTTTTTGGCAGCTACAGCTGCACTTCCCACTGTAGGCCACTTAGGGCTGGAACAGGGGTCGGACGGACCTCCAGGCCGGCTATCTGCTCCCAGACAACGTGAGGCAGGGCGGACAGCTCAGGTGGTATCTCCGTTGATACAGGGTGGTTTGAGGGGGAGGGGCTGGCTCCGGGATCCCGGCGTTCTTGAAAGAAGCTGCAGGCTCTGCACCGCATTCCTCAGCTGGGCCTGAGTACTCTCCATCTCAGCCAGGCGGCGCTCCTGGAGAGGCAGTGGCAGTGGGCTCGGAGCCAGGGGAGGGTTGCACCCCAACCCTGGTTCCCTCACCGCCCAGATCTTCCCCACGGCTGGGGCAGGGGTCTCACCAGACTTTTCAGCCTGTGCTCTTCACCGCTTGGAGGGCCACTCTCTGGATCCAGCTGCGAGGTCCTGTGGGGATCAGGGGCAAGAAGGGAGGGTCGGAGGCTGAGAAACTCCGTTCCAGCTCCGGGTTGGACAGCCAGGCAGTCAGGGAGGCGGGGCTTAGCGTCAAGGCGGAGTTTGTCTACACTAGGGGCGGGGCCTAGACAAAACTGAAGCCCGGGCTGAATCAGAACCTTGAATGGCTGGGAGGAAAGGACCGAGCAACTCTTGGGGGCGGGGCTTGGACAATCTGGGTGATGTAGGGACTGGGATGGAGGTGTGACCAGACTGAGAGGCCCGGGACCAATCTTTCGGGAAGGGACTGATTGAGGAGTGGGGCCTAGAGGATAGGACTCGCCCCCGAACTGGGGTGGGAGGAGCTAAGAGGCGGGAGGGACAGGTGTGTTGGGGCGGGGCTGGCAGAGGGGCGTGGCCTGTCAGGAGTGATTTGGGCGGGATTGAGAGGCAGGGCCTGCATGAAAGTGGGGCCACTGCAGATCTGATCACAGCGAGCTGACCCGGGGGCAGAGCTAATGGAGACGGCGGGGCTCACCCTTGGCGGAGCCTGGAGTCCAGCTCTTGCAGCTGGCCCCGAAGCTGCTCCTGCTTCTCCTTCAAAGCCCGGATGTGGGTGCCCAGCGACTGCACGAGGCTGGACAGAGTCTTCTGTTCCTCGCGCAGTGCGGCCACCTCACACTGCAGCTCTGCCAACTGTGGGAATAGAGCAGCTGTAATGTGACCCGTCGTCCCGCCCCACCTTCTCCCCGAAAAACCCTGACCTCCTTGTCCCTTGCGCTCTGCCTTCTCACTGCCCCGCCCCGTTAGGAAACCTCGCTCTAGTTTTGCAAAGGAGGAAACTGAGGATCGAAGAGGCTTACAAACTAACTAGTCCCGTGGTCACACAGCGCAGCGAGCTCGGTATTTGAACCCAGACCTGCCGGCTTCTTGTCTTTCCAGCTTCGTCTTCCCCACTCTGTGCACAGACCTGAGCTGGACCTCACCTTGCCCACGGGTCGGTGCGTGCCCAGCGCCTGGTCTCTGTCCCGCGGCTGGTCCAGCTGGCGCTGCCAAGGCACCGAGGGCTTCCGAGGCAACGATGCTGAGGCCCCGGTCCAGGGCCGGCCACGGGGAGCGGGCCCCGTGCGTAGCGAGCTTTTGGGTCGTGGCCGGGGCCCTGCAGAGGGTCGGCGACGAGCCGGGCGGCCCGCAGGGACGCTCTGCGTGCGCTGCACCGGCCGGGGCAGCCGCGGGGGCCGCTCTTCGTCCGGCTGCGGTCGCGCCCAACTCCCTGCGCCATGAACGCTGCGTAGAGACTGGCTCTTGGAGATGAGTGGGGTGTGCTTGGGGAGATCCCGGGGAGCCAGGAAGCCTGGCTTCTCCCCTGCAGAGAAGCTGGGAGGAGAAAGGGGGAGCTCAGATCCTTGACTGGCCCCTGAGTTGACCCCAAACCTACCTCTGACCAGAAATGATTTCACTTCTTTTACTTCTATGCGACCCTGTCGCTGAGGGAATCACATTTTGACCTCTGATCTTGCCCTGGACTTCTGACAACAGTGTCCTCTCTATGATCGTCCACCTGACCCCAATCTAACTTTTGACTTCTCTAGCCTTATCCCTGACCTTTGACACGATGTGACTCTTGACCTGGTCATCTCTGTAACCTTTGATTCCAATCTGACCCTGGGCTTGACCTCTGCTCACAGGAATACCCCCTTTCTGCCCCATCTGACCCTCCTTTTGTCCCTGACCTCTGACCTGAAGCTGACCCTGTCTGCCTCTTCACAGACCATGGTCCCTAACTGTGACCATATCTATGACTTTACCTATACCCCTAGACCCCATTTGACCCCAGGCATGACTCTGCTTACCATATGAACCTGTTCCTGACCCTTGTTGACGCATCTTAACATCTGACCCTGATCGGACCCCTGATTTGACCCTATCCACAACCTCTCACTGAAATCTGACCCTCATCACTGACCACAATGTCACTTTCTCTGTCTCACCCCAAATGTGACCTCACCCTGACCTCTGCAATGACCAATCCCACCTTGGGCTCCAACCTGACCCAGTCGGATACTGTGAGTTTCTCTCTGATTTCTCAGGTGACCCGTCTCCAGCCTCTGATCTTTATGCAACACTGTTTCTGAGGGAGAATCCCGAAGTGACCCTGTTCCTGACCGCTGACCCCAGTCTGACCCTGTGCTTGCCTTTGGTTCTGCCTCTGCGCTCACCCATCAGAAATGGACCAGACTTGAGGCAGCAGGTTACCTGGAGTGAACTTGGGCTGGGGGTGGCGGGAGACGCATTGGCACAGTCACGGGTACAGGCCGGCCCTCCTCAATGGCTCGCAGGATGGTGGGCAGCGGCTCCAGGCTGTCACGGGTTGCCTGGTGAGGCATTGCCAGGAGAATGGCAAGCAAGCTCTTTAGGGCCAGACGCTCCCCGACCTCTTGCCTCCCTACCCCACATATACCCTGGGCTCTGGCTATACCTGGTCAAGTTCAGCAAAGATGGTACAGAGCTGGGCGTGCAGGACTGCCAGCTGGAGGGCTAGGTCACTGCTGCCCTGGTAACCACTGGGCGCTGCATCCACATCCACCATGGCCACTCGGTCCAGGAAGTGTTGCATAGCTGGCCCATGATCCTCCAGGAAGCTATTCATGAAGCCCATGTAGGCCTCCTTCTCACCAAACCTGGGTCAAGGGCAGACTGGGTGGGTCAAACTAGGCATCTGCCACCCCATTCCCCTGGCATCCTCTCGGGGGAGGGGGTGTCCCAGCCAGGGGGCACCCAGCCTCCCAGCTAAGGATGGGGTCAGCCTTCTAGCACCTACGGGGCACTGTTGGCGAGGTTCTGGATGACCTTGGCGATCAGTGTGAGGGCGCGGGCTGGGCCAGGTGGGGGGTGCTCTGGTGCCAGACCGAAGAGGCTGGGGGCCAGGATGGCAGGACACAGGAGCCGCAGGAAGAGAGAGGCACACACCAGTCGGGGGCCCAGTGCCTCAGAGCCACGTGCCTTGCATGCTTCTCTCCAATCTGAGAACACAGTGCCCAGCTCCGCTGGGAACCAGCTGGGGCAGAAGAGGCAATGGTCAGAGGAGGAAGGTGGGCATAAAGGTCATACTCATGTTAAAGTCCTAAGGTCAGAAGTCAGGAGTCACCTGCATTGTGGGTGCCAGGATTGGAGACACTGGGGATAACACTTGGATCATGATTTATGGTATAGTTATCACCTCTGGGGTCAGTTATCTTGGAGATCGGGATACAGGTTCGCACGGGGATAGAGTCCATGAGCTTGGGATCTAACTATAACTGGATAGGAGTTTGGGGTGCCAGATTACACTATATAAAGTAGGATGGGCTTGAAGTTACAAGGTAACCCAAGCTCAGAAATCATGGTATTGATGTCCCAAGTGACGTGGGACTAGACCTTTGGTTCACCTAGAGTCAGAATCCAAGGAATTGGAATCCCAGTTTTCTTGTGATGGGATTTGGGGATCAGGGTCATTTAAGGTCAAGGGTCATGGGATTGGGGGTTAGCATCACCTGGAATCAGAGGTCATGACTGAGGTCCTATGTTAACTGGGGTCAGGTGGCATGGAATTAGGGTATGGGGTCACCTGTAGTTAGAGGACAAGGAATTGGGTCCCAGGTTATTCGTGGTCAGTAACCCCAAATTGACGTGACATTGGGAATGGGTTGCCAGATATAGCAAATAAAATTTCAGGACAAATAGTAAACTTGAATTTCAGATAAGAAATGCACTTTTTTTTTTTTTTTTTTGTAGTATCAGTATGTCTCAAATGTTACATCACATTTAACTGGGCATCCTGTATTTTACCTGGCAACCCAATTAGGAGTCAGGGGTATTAGCACAGTGCATGAGATGTAGGGGTAGGCTCAGGTGCTGGGGCCCTTATTCTTACTTGTAGGAGTGGATGATCTTTTGGAAGACTTCCTCACAACTGTTTCGCAGCCTGGCCTGGTGCTGTGGCAGCTCTGGGCCCGGGTACTTGCTGGGGTCCACCTCACAGTCCTCGGTGGAGACACAGAGGCGCTGCACCACCTGCCCTGCAGTTCAGCACAGCCAGACAGGGGCCAGGGCCATGACCACCAGAACCCCCCACCACACTTGGCCTCCAACTCCATCTCCAGCTTCCTCCGGGGACACCTAACATCTCCGGGGGAGTCCCCAGTTGCCGCCAGGATTTCAGCACCCCTGAAGGCACCACCCACTACCAGCCTCCAGGTTACCTAGGAACTCCCAGGTCTCCCTTGGGGTTCCCGAGCCCACCCAGACAGCCTCTGACATTCACTCTCTGGCTCACCCAGAGTCTCTTGGAGGTAATCCTGTGCCACCAGCTTCATGTACTCATCGATGGCCTTGGTGGCCAATGTGTTTTCCCGGAACAGCAGCGCCTCACGGCCTCCACTGCGTGCCAGCTCTGCGGTGCCCAGGTCTGTCACCAGTGCCTGGGCACAGTGGGGTTCATGTTGCTCGGAGAGCCGACAGCCAGGGGGAATACGAGCCCTAACCCGGTCTCACACCTGGGACACAGGCCCCGCCCCTCATAGCTGCTGCTCAGGCCCTGTCCTCACAGCTAGGGCTCACAAGGCGGGAACCACCACCCCTCACAGCAGAAATTTAAATCCTTCAGCTCAGAGTCTCAGTTCAGGCCCCACGCCTCGCAGCTGAAGCTCAGGCTCCTCCCCTGATGGTGCCCCGCCCCTCGTCTGTGCACCTGGGGTCCTGCGCCACCGGCCCCCCTTACACCCTGCTCCCCGGGGCACGCGGTCAGTCAGCCTCTGGTCACTCGGGTCCGCCCCGTCGCAGAGCCGCACCTGAGCCCGGCCGGTGGCCTGCAGCACGCGCACCATGGCAGCCGCCAGCTCCTCCTTGGCTTGGGCCGACAGCGCGGGCTCCAGCGCCCCGCAGAGGCGCGCGTAATGGAAGGTGAGGAACTCCGCCAGCTCCTTGTAGCGCTCGGACGGCAGCACACGCAGGCGCCGCGCTCGGATCCGCGCCCGCAGCGCTGCGCCTGCCGGCGCCCCGAGCAGCGGGAACCAGCGCTCCAGGCCCGCGGCGGGGGCGCGGGGGACGCCCAGCTCTTCCAGTGCCAGTGCCACGCGGCCCAGCGTCGCTCCCCCTGGGCCAGCTCCGCGCAGCCGCAGCGACAGGCGACGTGCCGGAGGCAGCGCCTCGAAGTGGAAGCGCTCGGCCCAGAAGAGCTGGCCCCGGCCAGCCCGCGGCGCTGTGCGCGCCAGGAGCGCGCCGTCCAGCCACAGCTCGGCGCGCACTCCCGCGGTCCCCGCCGCCGCGCGCGGCAGCCCTTTTGCCTCGTGCACCCACACGCTCAGCCACGTCTCCTCCCGCTCCAAGTTGTCCTGCGGACGCAGTGGAGTGGGTTGGGAGGAGGCGTCGGTGCTCGACGTGGGGACCGTGCCCCCAGGGAGATCGCTGGGCCCTTGGGGGATGACAGGGCCCACGGCGGTCTCAAGGTGGTTCTGCGGAAGCCCTCTAGCTTTTCTGGGCTCTCGCGTCGAGATCCGGACCCCAGGGTAAGGAGGGGTAGCCGCGGGGTGGGGACTTGGTGTTTGCCTGGTAGGTGGGGCTTTGGGTGCAAATAGGGCCCGGATTGAATAGAAGGGACGCGGGTTTTGTGCCAGGGGCTGGTAATGGAAGGGAGCTGCGGACGGTCCCGGAGTAGTTGCAAAGGTGTTAGCGGGGAAGTGTTTCTCGGAGCCGCGTTAGGGCGCGCGTGGGCGGTGGGCGGGGAAAGGGCAGGGCCGAGGCCGTGGGCGGGGCCTCCAGGTCCTGCTAATCCGTACGGACCTGGCTGGGTTGAAAGTGGCGGCGAAGGTCCTCGATCCAGCGGTCTCTCTCAGTGGCGGAGCGACATGAAAAGCAGCGGCTCCCGCCCGCCCAAGTTACCTGTGGGGGATGAGGATCCAGGGTTGAGGACAAGGGCGGCGCCCAAAGGGTCTGGGTCAGACGCAGAGTCGTCTGCGTTTACCTGGAAGCAATGGGGCTCCTCCAGGAGGCTGGGGTGCAGGGGCCAGACACGCACATCCCGCTCGGCCCCCAAGTCCAGCTCGGAGAGTGTGGCCAGCGATTCCCGAGAGCCCAGAGCACTGGGCGTTCTGAGGAGGGGGCGGTTCAACAAGTGGTCATTGTTCTCTTGTGACGGCCAACCCACTCCCTATAGCCTGAAGGGTGGAGGGAGGCCAGGATGAACTTGAACCTAAACTGGACTTGAACCTAACCTTTTAGGGTACACTCAGTTCCTTATGGTGGCCTATATGACCCCATATGGTACAGCCCTTGTCACCTCTTGACCTCATTTACGCCCACTTAATCCCTTTCTCTGAACTCCAGTCATACTGGCCTTGTTTTTGTCGCTTCATCTGGCCCCTTGGCCTTTGCACTCCCTGTTTCCTGGCCCAGAACACTTTTCCTGGCCTTCTTGGCCTAGTTGACTTCCATCCATCCTTCAGATCCTTAGCTCTTAGCTCATCCTTCAGATCTGATGCTCCCAAACCTTCGTGTTGACTTAGTTCCTGATTTAGAGTTATTGTGTCAGACTCTGCCCCCACCCTTCGGGGGAGGGGTAGTTCCTGCCGGGGTCTTTCAGTGGCCCCAGCATTGCTCAACATGTGGCAGGACACAGCAGAGGCTGTATCGGGGTTTTTGATGAAGGAGGGAATGATGGGCAGGTGGAGGTGACAGTGCAACCCCATCCCTCCGGCCCCTCAGAGATTCTTACCCATCCCGGGAGGCATTGGCTCCGAGCTCTGACCTGGCCTTTTTCTTCTCTTTCAGCCTTTTGAGCAATCCCTATGGGAAAGGGGACATCAGCCGGGCAGAACCTTGTTCTCCCTCCTCAGCTTCTTCCCACCCCCACCCCCCAGGGTGTCCTGGATGGTCTGCTGGTTTGAGGGGACCACAAGCTCGGGCTGTATTAGCAGTAATAATAAAGGCAGCCAACAGCACCCCCCTTTCTAAAGCACCGATCCTAGGCTATTCTGCATTCTCTACTGACTTCTCATCAACAACCCGGAGAGAGAGGTTCTCTTCATTTGTACCATCTGACAGATGGGGGCCCTGAGGCCAAAAGAGGGTCAGTGACCTGCCCAAGATCACCCACTAAGAGTCCCCTTTCATCTCTGAGGGTCTGGAAGCCTTTGCTCTCCCCTCTGCCTCCCCCTGGATGTCTCACCCGAACATTGTGGACCTGGTTGGGGCCAGCAGCCTCCGGCTCCATCTTTCCAGGGATCCGATCTGTAAATGGTCAGGGGTGGAAGGTTGCGGAGCGGGATTGTCTTGGATTCTGCCCCACCTTGACAGGCTCCCAGGTGTCCCAACCCTCCTCACCTCTGAAACAACTTACCTGGATCCCTGAGGCTCCCCATGGCCACCTGGATGCTGCCCCCAGAGCTAGCACTCCCCAGCCGGGGCCGGCGAGGACCCTGTTCTCCGTGAGAGTGGGTAGCCGTAAAGGGGAGGCAGACAGGAGAGGCAGACACGTTTCCATTACCCTCTCCCGCCACTCATCTGTCTCCTTCCCGCCCTCTTCCTCCCCCCCGCCCCCCCGTCCCATCCCTGTGCACCTTCTCACCTCCTCCTCATTGCCAAGGAGCACCAGCTTGCCATCAAGCAGGGTGAAGGCCCCAATGTTCCAGATGGGTACGTCAGGTGTGGGGGCCTCTGGGATCTGTGGGGCAGGGGTCTCTGGCTCTGCCTCAGGCTCTGGGTAGAGGAGGGGGTGCCAGGGATGTGAGAGTCTGTCCCTCTCCCTCAGAGTACCCTCTCCATTCACAGAGGCTCATCGGGGGTTCCCTCCCAAGTGTCTCCTCTCCCCCCGACCCCAGCCCTCCCAGCAGGCTTGTCAGGCTGGGTTGTTGGACAAGTTCCCACCCCTGTCTGGGCCTTGTCCCCACACGCCGTGGGTAGGGCACACATGTTCCCTGTACTGTGTTTACAGCGCCATGCGCCTTCTCTCATTTAATCCTCCAAAAGCCATTCAAAGGCCTATTAGAACCCCCATTTTGCCAAGGAGGAAACTGAAGACCAGCATCCTTGGTTCTTTACATAAATAACTAATGCAGGGTGGAAGGCATTCAACGTTTGAGAAAGGAATAGAAGTAAGGTCATGTAGGGGGAGGTGGTGGCATGGTGGGTCAGAGAAAGTCTCCAGAAACAGTAGATTTGCACTGGGTCTTGAACAGCAGGTTGGATTTTGACAGGGATGGTGGGGACAGTGGCAAGAGCAGTTTGAGCAATGGCTGGGAGATGGCAGATGCCCAGGAAAGGCAAGAAGGGCTCAGAGGGCTCAGAGGCTACAGGGAAAGGTCCAGGAAGAGATTGGTGCAGAAACTTGCATGTCAGTTAGAGAGCTGTGGGATTTTATCCTGGGGGGTAATGGGGAACCATGTGTGGTATTTGAGCAGGGGAGGAGCAGTCCTGCTTGTTGGAACTCTCTCTGGATCCTATGGAGTAAGGGGTTGAAGCAATACCTCTGCAAAATGGGCATATGAAAAGAGCTTCCGGGAATAGAAGGGCTGAGTTAACACTCCCCCCCCCCCCCGATTACCTGTCTAGCCTATGGTTTTCCCATCAGGGGAATAAATAGCTCCACTTGTTCATAGATCACTTAGAACATGCTGGGCCTTGGGGGGCACCTGGGTGGCTTAGTAGGTTAAGCGTCTGGCTTTCGCTTAGGTCATGATCTCGCGGTTCGTGGGTTCGAGCCCCGCATCGGGCTCTGTGCTGACTGCCAGCTCAGAGCCTGGAGCCTATTTCAGTCTGTGACTCCCTCTCTCTCTGACCCTCCCCCTGTCTCTCTCTCTCTCCTAGAAATAAATAAAACATTGAAAGAAAAAAAAAAGAACATGCTGGGCCTTGGGCTAGGGCTACGTTCATGAGCTCCAGGCTTCATGCATCCCTTACTCTTCTAGGTCCCTCTGTGTAACAGCCCCATCTATCATTTTCTGTTTACTGTCTGTCATGCCCACAACACTGTGAGCTACTTGGGGCAGGCAGTTTCATCTCTTTTGTTCACTGCTGTGTCCTTAGTGGCTAAATCAAGGCCTGGCATATAGTAAAGGCACAACAGATCTGTGTTTGAATGAGCGAATGAATGAATGAATGAATGAATGAGAGTCAATGAGATAAAATATGTTTTAAGGTAGGGATTATGATCCCCATTTAGCTGATGGAGAGGCTGAGGTTCAAGGAGATGAAGGAACTTGAGCTGTGCAGGCGGAAGGGCTGGAGAGCAGGAGGCAGCTGAGATGGGTCCCCAGGTGGGAGACAATGAGTCTAGGCTATTGGCTTCGAGGAGAGACCCACTGGGGCCAAGAGCCATTTGGCATCTGGACAGTGCTACCCCGAGTCTATTCCCTCTCCCTTCCCCAGGATGGACCCGCAGCCCCGCAGGGCCCCCACCACTCCCCCCACCCCCAGTGCCTGTGTGAGGGGGAAGAGGGAAGAGGGCAGCTGGGCCCCAGCCACTTCCTGCTGGGCTTTTGCACTCCCCACAACTTCCTGTGTCTGTAGCTGATGCTCTGGAGGCAGACAAAACCCGAGCATCCGGCCTCCCAGCCCGGGTGGGGGAGCCATTACCTGGGGCCTGGGGCTCCGGCTCTGGTTCCAGCGGTAGGCTCTTATGCCTCCCCCAGAGGCTCTTGGATAGCCGGAGGCGGCTTGTGCGCGATTCCTTGGGGGGCGCAGAGAGGACACGCCGGAACAGCGAGCGCGAGGCTGGCTGGCTGCTGACCACGGGCTCCTGGTGGCTTAGCGCCCTCCCCCAGCCTGCAAGTCGGCCCCAGCGGGACCCTCCAGCCACTTTCTCCCCATCCCCCCCTGTGTGCCAGCGGTAGGAGGTTAGCGGGGACGAAGCTGCAGGCTGGGTGTGGGAGGCCTTGCACGGTGATGGTGGGTCCATGGCGGGGGTTCTCCTGGGGGACAAGAGGGTGACAGTTCTGCCCAGTATGTTCCCACATGCTGTCCTCATCTAGTCCCCCTCCCCACTCTCAGCTCCGCCCCCAGGGAACCCCCTTAGAGGCCACATGCCCTCCCTCCCTTACCTTGATTTCCCGACCAGCCCCAAAATCGGCAGCCGTCTGCACCGTGCCTGGCTTCCTCCCGCTGAACGCAACTCCACGTGACCCTGTCTGTCCCACCCCACCCCACAGCCAGGCTGGGAGGGCACAGTGGGGGCAGGATGCGGGAGGAGAGGTGGTGAGAGGTGACAGAGTAGGACCCAGAATCTCTCACTGACTGGGAGGCAGCAGTGCCCCTCTCTGAATTTCAGACGTCTTCTCTGCAAAATGGGTACATACTGACCAAGGGCTGCTGAGAATACAGAGCACCTGGGGGTCTCTGCTGGCCAGAGTGTAGATCACTTCACCCACGTTGGAAAACGGGCATGATACACTAACATTGACTACACACCTCTCCTCAGACCCAGCAGTTACAGTGGGAGGTCTACACCCGATAGACATAACCACTAGTGCTATCTGTAAATAGCACGGCACTGGCGGCAACTCAAGTGTCCTTCTACTGCAGAATGAAGAAGTTGTATCTCTTCCCACAGTGGAATAAAATGAACAAGCTGCTGAATGGTTCAACTCGGATGAATCACAAACCATGAAGAGTAACTACCGTGCGGTTCCTTTTATATAAACTTGCAAAGGAGGCAAAACTATGTGTAACAGGTCAGGATATCCATCTCCTTTAGAAGAGGGTAGTGGAGCATGAGGGAAACTCCTGGGAGTTGATATCTTTCCCCCTAATTGAGGTGAAAGTCACATAAGAAGTTTAACATGTCCCGTTTCTTGAACTGGGCGCTGGTTACCTTGGTGTGTTCTGTTTTGAAAATGTATTGAGCTATGCATTTCGGTGCACTTCCCCATGTCTCTTTATACCTCAATGAGTGTTTACTTGTAAAAAGAGATGGGCAAATTCTGTTCTGAGAAATAAGTGAGTCAGCATGAGAGTCCATCAAATCCTGGTCCCAGGAGTGGGCTCCAGTACCAGCTGGTCCTTCTCTCACTGTGTGACCTCCAACAAGTCACTTCCTCTCTTTGAGCCTCGGTTTCCTTATTTGTAAAACAAGATGATAATATTAGTTACAGAAGGTTCATAACAGGAGGCCTTGTTTTTTCAATAAATGCTTCTTGAATGCTTACATACTAGGTACTAGGTGCTGGGGAAGCCACAGGGAACTAAACAGATTTGGTTCTTGCCCTCCTGGGGCTCACAGTCTAGTGAGGAAAACATCGTGGACATAAACGCTGGACATTTCTAGCTGGTGAGTAGGAATTGGAGGAAAATAGACTGGAGTAGAGGCTGAGCAGAAGTGGAAAGATCCAGGAGGACTTCCCTGAAGAGGTGACATGTGTGACCCAAAGCATAAGGAGCTGACCATGGGAAGAGCATGCCAGGTAGAAGGAACAGTTTGTGCAAAGGCAAGGGTGACCAAAATCCACAGGATGGGGATGGGTGGGACCGCCTTCATGGGCATGTGGCCTGGGCAGTCATCCAGGACTGCCATGCTTAGAAAGGCTCCACACCACATTTAATGCTTTGCTGTCACTGTCTTGAAGTGTCTGCACTGTCAGCATGGAGCCCGATGGGGGGCTGAAACCCACCAACTGCGAGACCATGACCTGAGCCGGAACCAAGAGTTGGATGCCCAACCCACTGAGCCACTCAGGCACCCCAAAGTTCCTGCTTTTTGGACAAAGCACTCTGTTTTTTCACTTTGCCCTGTGCCTCACAAATTCTATAACTCATCCCAAGGAGTAGGATCTTCCATGAGGGTCAAAGACCCTTTTCCTGGAGCTGGACATGTTCACCCAGGTGCACACACCTTAGATATGCCCACCTCATTCCTGCTGCACTCAATCCATTCACTGCACACACACGTAGAGTTTCCTCATGTTCTGATGTGTCCCTGAGTCTTTCTCACTTCACTGAATACTGATCCCCTCCTAACTCCCTGCATTTTTGCTGGAGATCTTTCTCTGATGGATGGAGACTGCTCTCCCTCTCTAGGCAGTAAGCAGCCCCGAAGTGCCAGAGAATTAATGCCTCCCCAAGATTAGCCGTTAGCCAATGACAATGAGGTCTGGAGAATCAATACCCCAGTTCCCTTGCCTCTTGGGTGGGATGACTCTGAGGTGTGTCTTACACAGTTCCCTGCCTGTCCCCAGTGGGATTGAGCTCCATGTCCCCACAGTGCCAACTTGCTTGATAATGTACCCCTTCCTGGATGCCTTCCTTCCCAACCTCTCTTCTTCAATCCCCAACTGATATGTCCTAGGATCACCTTCACCTCTGAAGCAAACTACTTGCATTGGAACTCTTGTCTCCAGTCTGTTTCTAGAAAAACGCAAATTAAAACAACGTGTGCAGACACAGACAATGCACAGACACAGGCTTTCTTTCCACCATCTCTTTATTGGAGGTCTGTGGCTGGCAGGATCATGGGAGGTGGCTTCCTTTTGGATCTTCTAGAGGCCCTCCTGGCTGTTCTTGGTTTCACGTTCTAGAAAAGACAGGGGAGTGTGAGGCTTGGGGAGTGGGGGTCTGCCCCCATCATGGTGGGACCCTGGATAGGGAAGAAGACAGAAGCTCAAAGTGAGGGTGTGCGTACAGTGGAGACTGCAGACCAGGTTAATGAAACAGGGTGGCAGTGTGCAGGTAAGATGAGGTTGTGCAGGTGTGAATATAGAGGTGTTTTGGTGATCGAGGTGATGGCCTGGGTGGGGTCATCAGGCCAAGGTGGTGCTGGCTGGACCTAGATTGCTCCAGCATGAGAACTGTCATCAGGGGTCAGGGAGGCTGGGGCTGAGCAAGCATCCTTAGGGCTGAGGCTGGGCAGAGGACTGCAGCACAAGGTTAGGAGCTGGGTAGAGGTTGTGCAGGCAAAGCGGTTTTCTATAGAGGGTCAAAGGCTAAGTGAGTGTTGTGTAGATAGAGGGCCCTTTGGGTAGGGGGTGGGGGTAGTCTGGGTGAGGTTGTACAGGCAGAAGAGGTAACTTGGGTGTAAGTTGTGCAGGCCGCAGGCTGAGGTTGTGAGGGCAGAAAGGCTGGTGTATGGTTGGAGTCCATGCCTTGGTTGGGAGGGCAGAGGTGTTGGGGCTGGGTAAAGGACAAGCTGGCTGGGTCAGGGCTCTGCTGAGGTTGTGTGAGCAGAGGACAGTGCGTAGGGGCTGTTGTAAGCAGGACTGAAGTCTGGGCCTAGGTTGCCTGAATAGATGGACTGCGACGGGGCCGGGGGTATCTGTGTAGGCGTACGAGTTACAGTAAGGAGTCGGGGCCTGCTGAGGTTGGGGGTCCGGGTTGAGCTCTGGGCTTGTGCGGAAAGCTGGGCCGCAGGCCAAGGGAGTGTGGGGTCTCGAACTCACCGCAGCGAAGCGCGGCCAGGTGCGCAGCAGGTTGAAGAGCGCGTCCCCGGGACAGTCGGTGTGCACGAGCTGGCGGTGGCCAAGCAGCTGGTAGTCTGGCCGCAGGAGGCCGGCGCGCACTGCGCAGCCAGGGAGCACGTCCTGCACGATGTGAAGCGCAGCCTTCGCCGGGACCTCCGCAGTGTAGTTGCCCACGAAGGCCACGCCGAAGCCGCGGGAGTTGTGGCCGCGTGTGTGCGCGCCCACCCAGTGCCAGCCGCGGCCCTCGTACACGTAGCCGTCCGAACCTACCACGAAACTGTAGAGGGGAAGGGGAAGCACGTATGAGGGAGGCCCCGCCTTTCATCTGGCCCCCTCCCCCAATTCTGCACCTGGATCAAGGGCCACCTCCACTCCAAGACCTACCCCCCCCCCCCCGGCCGCTCTGGCTCTCCCCAAGTGCCACCGCAGAAACTGTTCCGTTTTTCTGGATCTGCCCCCTCCACATTGTCCCAAGTACAGCTCCTGCCCTATTCAGAGCCCTTTTCTGTCCCAGGTCATATTCTCTCACCATGTCCTAGGTCATGGTCTCTCAGACCCAGCTCTTTCCACTGGTCTTGCTCCCCTCCTAGCTCCTACACCAGACCCAAGAATCCCACTGTCTGGTATTTCTGGTCCGTTAAGGCCCAGACCGGAGTCAAGGCCACGCCCCTCCCCCCTTGGCCCCACCCACCCCCCAAATTTTCTCCAACTCGCCGCGTCGGCTCCTGTCCAAACCCCACCCCCTGGGTCAGGCTCCGCCCACCCCAGGCTCCACCCTAAAAGGTTCGCTCAGCGGGGCTCAGTTTACCTGTAGCCAATGTCGTCCCAACCCCGAGTATCTTGGTGGAATCGTTGCATAGCGCGCATGTTGGCGGCGCAACGCGCGAAATCCGTGCAGGGAGGCGCGGGCACGTACGTGTGATGTACATACAGGAACCCGAGGGGCAGCTGCAGCGGCGTCGGGTGGCCTCGATACGGCGCTGCGCCCCAGCGGCAACGAGGGTGGATGGCCGGGCACCCTGCGGACAAGGGGGTCCAGGGCTGGGGTCAGCCAGCGTTTCTCTGCCTGCCGCCTGCATCCTCGGTAAAGCGCACGTATGGACCAGCCCTCCAGCCTCCCTCCAAATTTGAGGACACTTCCGTCTCACCCCACACTGGCCGCCGTGGGGATCTAACTTCATTAAATTTAACAGTATCTCAGTCCTGTTGGAACATCCGCTCTGACTCCCACCACCTTGAGGATAAACCCCAAGAATTTTAGCTCTTGTTTTCAGGCTCTTTACGGTCCAGGACCCAACACTCTCCAGCTGGCCCTGCTCTGATTTCTAGGGAGGGACAGCTGCGATGAGAAAAGGGGGGCTCTCAGTCCCTGTTTATTGTCCTCTAATTGTGTAAAGCTACTTGCTTTACCTGCCTCATCTGTTTTTAACCACCCAGTACATCCAAGAGGAAGCAATGATTTCCCCAGACTTCACTGAAGGAGAGGTTCAGAGAAGTGAAGCAACTTCCCTAATGATGCACAGGAATAACTGGCTGAACTTCCATTTGAACCTCTGTGCCTTTGCGTGTGCTGAGCCCACCTCTTGGAATGCTCTCTCTCTACCTGCCCCTGCCTTTTTTTTTTTTTTTTTGGATGAACTTTCAGTCTTTAAGACTCAAATCTAGCCTTCCTTTACCTATGCGGATGCCGGGTCCCCCCTCCCCCACAGCCGGGACCCTTATTTCTCCCTCTGGAATCCCCTAGGCCTAGGTTCCTCTGACAACGTGAGGCTAAGACTGTAGCATCTGTGAGATGGGGGTGGATCACAGAGGTTAGGGCTCTTCTCACCCAGGAAGGCCTCAGTGAATTCCTTGGTAGCGTTGGCTGCTACCTGTGCCAGCTGTTCTTGGCCCATGCCCCGAAGATGAGGGTGTGTTGGCTCCAACCTCTGTAGCAGAATCAGGGCCCCCCACACCTGCTGGGTCAGTGTAGAGGCTGAAGTCAGAGCAGCTCCGTTCTGCCGTCGGAAGTTGCTGCGAAGTCCTGGATCTCCGGCTACCCCTGCTCCGTAGTATTGGCTCAGTAGGTGGCTGAGAGGTGGCCGGGGCTCAGGAGTTCGGCTTAGATACTCTCCTAGGAGGGCCCCATCCAGGGCACCATTGAGGAAGGCCATGGTGACTGGCGATGCCTTGGAGTCTAAGAGTGTGAAGGTCCGGGGAGCAGATAGCTGGTCCCAGCAACCCTCGGTTCCCAGGCCTAAATGACTCGAGGTCTGAGGGTCCTGGAGGAAGGCCAGACCCAGGTCCCTGGCCAGGGTGACCACCAGCAGGCTGTCCACTGTGGTCGGGGATTTGGCTCTGGTACCCGGTGAGGAAGCTTGGACATCTGGAGAGATGACCGGGACATCTGGAGAGCTAGGTCTAACACCTGGAGAGGTGGGTTTGACATCTAGCTCTGCGGCTCTAACGTCTGAAGACATGGCTCCAACATCTGCAGAGATGACATCTGGAAGGGCGTCCCTGAACCCTGGAGATGTGGCTCTTACATCGGGAACCATAGCTTCAGTGTCTGGAAAAGTGGCTCCAGCATCCAGAGGGCTGGCCGTGCTGTCCAAGGGCAGGTTTACAATCCTGCGCCCCTGCAACCCCGCCTCCAGCCCCGCCAAAAGGGGCTCCACAGCCACGGTTGAGCCATCTGGTGCCAGCACAACTCCATATTCTTGCATGCCCCGAATACCGTGCTGGGCCACGTCCTTGGTTAGACCTCGAAGCTCTGGGCTCAGTTGGTGGGCGTCTAGCTTGGTGACCTTGAGACTCTGCCCCTCCAGCAGGAAGTGATGGAGAAGATCGTGGGGACCTGACTCCTGGGCTAACAGCTGCCACGCAGAAGTAGTGTGCCTGGCCTTGGTGGCTGGTACCTTCTGCTCGAGCTCAGCCAGGGCCTGGATGACAGAGTCCATGAGCAGAGGCAGGGTCGCTGCAGGAAGACAGACAACATTAGCGCAGTGGCCCAGCACCTCCCCTCTTCCTCCGCCTGCTGCTTTCACATGTTCTCAATGCCCCCGGCTCTTCACTGGACACCCCTGCTACCCCCCCACCAGCACTGTTCTTGTGTAGATGAGGAAACTGAGGCACAGATAACCATTTAAGGAGCTTAGATGATCAGTGAGCACTGGGGAGCCGTGGCAGATTCATGAACAGGAGAGAGACAGGGCCTGGTAGGTATTCTAAGATTGTTCCTTTGGCTGCCATGTGGAGAATGGATTTGGGGGAGGCTAGAGAAGGGAAGGGGAAGACAGTGTGGAGGTAAGTGATGAAGGTAGCCAAAGCCAGGGTGGTGTCAGTGGGATGGATAAAAATGGGCAAAGCTCCCAGGTGCTTTGAGGGGGAAATGGAGTTTTTCTTTTCTTTTTTAAAAAATGTTTTAGGGGCGCCTGGGTGGCTTAGTCGGTTGAGCGTCCGACTTTCGCTTAGGTCATGATCTCGCGGTTCGCGGGGTCGAGCCCCACGTCGGGCTCTGTGCTGACTGCCAGCTCGGAGCCTGGAGCCTATTTCAGAGTCTGTGTCTCCCTCTCTCTCTGACCCTCCCCTGCTCACGCTGTCTCTCTCTCTCCTAGAAAAAAAAATGTTTTATTTCTTAGTTTTGAGAGAGAGAGAGAGAGAGAGAGAGCATGAGCAGGGGAGGAGCAGAGAGAGAGGAAGACACAGAATCTGAGGCAGGCTCCAGGCTCCAAGCTGTCAGCACAGAGCCCTCTGTGGGGCCCGAACCTACGAACTGTGAGATCATGACCTGAGCTGAAGTCGGACGCTCAACCGACTGAGCCACCCCGGCGCCCCAAAATGGAGTTTTTCTTAATGGATTGGAGTTTGGAGGATTTTAGAGGAAAAGGCATCTCTAAGGATGGCCAGGGAGGAGAGAGAGGGCCTGTGCCCTGTGAAGGAAATGTTGAGGGCCTGAACCTGGAACTGAGGAAGCTGAGTGGGATGTTGAATGACAGCTAACATTTATTAAACATTTACTATGTGCCAGGCACGCAACGACCCGATGAGCACGGAGAGGCTGAATCATCTGCCTAGAATCACACAGCTAGGAAGTGGCAGAGGCAGGATTTGAACCCAGGAAGTTTTAATCCTTACACTCTGTCTAGAATCCAGGTTCTTCTCCAGACAGTCCACACTGTGTTTCCTCTATAATTTTATTCTTCTCTTTGCCTAAAATACCCATTCCTTCTTCTCCCAGTGAGATTTTTTTCCTTCTTCCTGTCAGGAATCTGTGTCCCCTCTTCCAGGAAATGATCCTGATTTTTGTTCTTCTGGCCCCAAATCCTTCCCCCAGCTCCTGAGTCCTGACCCTAAGGGGCTGGGAGCCTCTGGAGACTGAAGGTTCCTTGAGACGGGGGCCTCACCCTGTACAGGGCTGGACACAGAGGAGGCCAGCAATATACTTTTGCAGCATCAAGTCCTGGCCCCAGGTCTCTGCCTTCTGACCCACCTGTCCCAGGCTCCGGCCACAGCAGCAATCCAAACAGGATCCAGAGGACACTCCGGGCCACCATTGTGGGGTTCTAGCTTCTGAGGGACGTATCCAGCTGACCTCAGCGGAGACCTTGACGGAACTGGAAGAGAGAATTGAGTGGTGCCTTTGGCTACTGTCAAAGTCCAGTGGTGAATGACACAGCTGCCCCTTGCAGAGCTGTGGGCGGGCAGTAGCAGGAACATGAGGACAGAGTGGCCTGTGTCAAGGTCCTCTGGTTTCAGGGGCTCCCCCATCCTCTCCTGTCCCTCCCAGGCTGAGGTCAAGGGTCAGCAAGCCAGGCCCAGCCCAGGAGGGGCCTGGAGGCCAGGTAGTTTAGACTCCAACAAACTCTTCCCAAGAGAGGTAGACTGAGGCCAGTCCAGGAAGCCCTAACCCCTTCCTATAATTATTGTTCTGGAGCTGCAGCGGGCCACCAGAGGGGACTCTCAGGCGCCCGCCCAACTGGTAAGACCGGCTGTGCTGGGGGAAGGGAGAGAAGGAAAAGCCTGGGGTTGACACTGCCTCCTGCCAGCACCTCAGGCCCAGGCAGAGGATGGGCGCAGGGGCTGGGGATTGTCTGTGCTGAGGCTTGTGCTGAGCCCATGGGATCAGGAGATGTCACCTCTTATCCAGTTCCAGGTCCTGATCCCAAGCGATCAGAGGTAGCTGAGCACAGCAACTGGGCCAGGGCAATTGTCCCAGGAGTGGTTTCTGGGCTCACCTGGGTTGACGGTGAGGGGCTCTCCTCTTTCCTGGCGCGGTGCTGTGGCTGAGTCCTGCAGAAATGAACTCGCCTCCCCTTTATTCCAGTTTCAGGTGGGATGGGCTCCAAGTGGTTGGGGCTGCTTCACTGTGGGCCACCCACCCCGAAACCAGCCTGGGGAGTTTCCGGGAGACCCACCAGGCTGGGGACTCAACATGGGACGGGCCCTGGGCGGGCCTGGAAATGCCCAGGCTGAGCCAGGCCTGGGATTCCCCGGGGAAGGGAGGAGGGGCGGTGGGCTCGGGGGCTTTCGGAGACATAGTGTCCTCTCTTTGGGCACCCGGCATCACACATGGGGGTTCAGGGAGTAGGGTGCTAGGGGAGGGAGGGAATGGAGGCCCCCTTCCAGGAGATTCCAAGCAAATCTCCACCGGCTAGTCCCCGTTTCCAAGGTTTTGGCGACAGGAGGCTCTGCCTGTAGAACCACGTCGGGGATCTGGACTCTGTCCATCTGGTGGGGGGACTGAGTGAGGAGAGTAGGCATTCGCGCCTAGGCTGCCAAATTTAAGATGTTGCTGAAAATCCGATATCAAGTAATATTTTTTTTTATTTTTAAAAAAATGTTTTTATTTCTGAGAGAGAGAGAGACAGCGTGGGCAGGGGAGGGTCAGAGAGAGAGGGAGACACAGAATCTGAAGCAGCTCCAGGCTCTGAGCTGGCAGTCAGCACAGAGCCCGACGTGGGGCTCGAACCCACGAACCGTGAGATCATGACCTGAGCCGAAGTTGGACGCTTAACTGACTGAGCCACAGAGGCGCCCCCTGATATCAAGTAATATTTTAATGCAGTATTTAATTTTATTATTTTTTAATCAACTAATTTTTAAAAATATTTATTTTTGAGAGAGAGACAGAGTGGGGGAAGGACAGAGAAAGAGGGAAACACAGAATCTGAAGCAGGTTCCAGGCTCTGCACTGTCAGCAGAGCCCTATGCAGGGCTTGAACTCACGAAATCACTAGAACATGACCTGAGCCAAAGTTGGACGCTTAACCCACTGAGCCACCTAGGCGCCCCATTTATTTACTTTTTATTTATTTTTATTATTATTTTGTAATTTTATTCTTTTTTTTATTTTTGAGGGAGAGTGCGAGCGGGAGAGGGGCAGAGAGCGACGGGGACAGAGGATCTGAAGCGGGCTCTGTGCTGATAGCCATGAGCTCGATGTGGGGCTCAAACTCACCAACTGTGAGATCATGACCTGAGCCAAAATCAAGAGTCCAGTGCTTAACCGACCGAGCCAACTGGGTGCCCTTGCAATATTTTATTTTATTTTTATTTTTTTAAGTAGGCTTCACGCCCAATGCAAAGCCCAATGTAGGGCTTGATCTCACCACCCTGAGATTAAGACTTGAGCTGGGGGAAAAAAAAGACTTGAGCTGAGATCAAGAGTAGAGCATTTAACCTACTGACCTAACCAAGGTGCCCCTAATGCAATATTTTAAAAGACCAAAGTGAATGCAAAAAATCGATGATAAACTAAATATCAACTTTTTTTTAAAGTTTGTTTATTTCCTTTTTGAGAGGGAGAGAAAGCATGAGACGGGCAGGGGCAGAGAAGAAGAGAGAGAAGAGAGAGAGAGAGAGAGAGAGAAAATCCCAAGTAGGCTCCACACTGTCAGTGAGGCTCAAACCCACAAACCAGGAGATCATGACTTGAGCTGAAGTTGGCTGCTTGACCGACTGAGCCACCCAGGTGCCCCACAAAATATCACCTTCTTAGAGAAAGATGGGATGAGGAACAGCCCTGTGCTGAGGCATACTTGAGCCAGAGGTGAAAGTTAAAATCAGGAATTCTGATCCCGTGTTTGTGCCACGCTTACTTTACCTTAGTGCAGCCCTGTGTCCATTGGGGGGAAGCCCTCAGAATGTTGAGAGGTGGCCGAGGAGATCCTCACCTAGTATTTGCCTGGTCTGGCAATGACCTTGACCTTGGGTTTGTCCCTCTGGACCTCCCACTGATGGCAGTCATGGGGGACCCTTGCGGTCTTATTTCACCGTCCATTTATGCACGTTTTACCAGCAGGAAGGTGAGCTCAGAGAGGTTGAGTGACTTGCTCAGGGTCACATAGCTGGAACCTGGGGAGGGCTCCAAGTGCAAAACACATTTCCACTCTCCTGTGGCTGGGTCAGGGTCAGAGTAGTTCCTACTGGAGAAGTGTTTGCAGGCTTGCTGCAGAGCGACTTCACACCGAGGAATTCGTGGGCCAGCCACTCAGACAGCCTTGATTTCTTTCTTTCTTTTTTTTTTAATGTTTTTTTATTTATTTCTGAGAGAGAGAGGCAGCGTGAGCAGGGGAAGGTCAGAGAGAGAGGGAGACACAGAATCTGAAACAGGCTCCAGGCTCTGAGCTGTCAGCACAGAGCCCGAAGCGGGGCTTGAACCGACGAACTGTGAGATCATGACCTGAGCTGAAGCCGGATGCCCAACCGACTGAGCCACCCAGGTGCCCCTTGATTTCTTTTTGAAGCTTGGGATTGGTGGCTGAGACTGGGGGTTAGGGGGCAGGGTATGTCATAGCTGGTCAATATTTCCCTTAGAGTCTGTCTGGGATTTGTGTCCTGGAGTAGGACCCTTCCTCCAGGGAGCCTCCCTGATTACCCCTGCCTCTCCCTCTTTCTCCATCCTGGCTCCCTAGCCTCAGGGACTCAGGCTCCCTTTGACTCAGACTCATCCATATAGGGCCGGGAGTTTCTCTGTCCAGTTCCATCTTCCCCCAGCCAGGAGATGCTGAGTTCTCTTAGGGTGCCCAGAAGTGCCCAGCACAGGCCAGGGACCAGGTGGGAGGCAGGGCAGGATTGCTGGGTGCACAAAAGCCTTGACTGAGGATGTGGGGTCGGTTTGGGATGGGGCTCTGAAATACGTGTACACACACACATACACACACGCAGGCACCCACACACCACAGCACCAGGCCTGGGCTGGGCCCGGGAGGGAGCAGAGAGGCTGGCATCGCCGTGATGAATCACCACTCCCCACCCCTGCTTCCCTTACACCTCATGAGGACCACCTCCCAGGGTAGGTGAAGGCCACTCCAGGCTGCAGACAGACCAGTAAGTAGTCTCATGAAGTGAAGGGCAGGATCACGGCCAGAGGCCGGAGGGAGAGAAGCAAGACTGAGCCTGAGGCCAACATCAAGGTTAGGAATGTTCACTTTGGTAGCAGAAGAAGAGCCATGAAGACCCTGATAATAATAATCAATAATAATAATAATAACTGCTGTGTGTGGGGCTGGAAGCTAAGATTTTATATGCCTGTGGTTTTTTATTCAGCTCTGGGTTTTGTGAAGAGACAGAAAGCAGGATTCAGCAAACTATAGCCTGTGGACTGGCTGTTTTGTAGATGACGTTTTGTTGTTTTTGGTTGTTGGCTGTTGGTTTTTGTTTTTTGGGGTTTTTTTGCTTTTAGGGTTTTTTTCAAGGAGAAAGTCACCTAATATAAAATGAACCATTAGCATTAAAAAAAATTAAAAAAAAAAAAAGGGGGCGCCTGGGTGGCTTAGTCGGTTTAGCGTCTGACTTTCGCTTATGTCATGATCTCGCGGTTCGTGGGTTCGAGCCCCGTGTTGGGCTCTGTGCTGACTGCCAGCTCAGAGCCTGGAGCCTGTTTCAGTCTGTGACTCCCTCTCTCTCTGACTCTCCCCTGCTCGCGCTATCTCTCTCTCTCTCTCTCTCTCCTAGAAATGAATAAAACATTAAAAAAAATTAATAAAATGAACCATTAGAAAGTGTATAACTCAGGGGCCTCTGGGTGGCTCAGTCGGTTTTCGTCAGACCCTTGATCTCGGCTTAGGGCAGGATCTTGCAGTTTGTGAGTTTGAGCCCTGCACTGGGCTCTCTGACGGTGCAGAGCCTGCTTGAGATTCTTCCTCTCTCACCCCTACCCTGCTTGTGCTCTCTTTCTCTCTCTCTCTCAAAGTAAATAAACTTAAAAAAAATAAGTATAATTCAGTGGTATTTAGTACCTTCATAATATGGCACAACCATCATCTCTATCTTGTTCTAGAACATCACCATCTCCCTAAAGTAAGAATCCTGTACCCAGAGCAGCCACACTCCTTATCCTCTCGCCTTTGGGAACCACTGACCTGTTTTCTGTTTCTATGCATTGGCCTGTTCTGGATGTTTCACATACATGGGATCAGACGCTTTGTGACTTTTTTGTGTCTGGCTGTTTTTTGTTTGTTTGTTTTTACACAGGATAATGTTTTTGAGGTTCATCTGTGTTGTGGCATGAATCCGTGCTTTTTTATCACAAATGATTCTTTTTTATGGCTGA